ACATTTCACGCTCACAAATTCGTTTCGTATGAAAATTAACCGATTTAAATATTTTACCTTTAAACAACCTAATTTGAATTTTTGCACACCTGGAGCCAAATTAGCATCGCTCGCCGTAGGCTTGAGAATAAAGGGACATTTTGTTGTTGTTGGTTTTTCAGCCGTCAGGCATCTGGTATTTAAGATAAACACAATGCCAAATGCCGACAGCCACATTTAAAAACAACACATGGCCCAACAGTGCGATTGCGACAGGCCGACACATATCATTATGCGATGCGTGGGCGAGCAAACAGGTAAGACACACCGATATGACGGCAAAAGTTGGTCGCCTCAGACGGTAAGCGACACTGACTGCCACGTCCTGCTGCCTGCTTTTAAGCTGCCGTTGTCGTCAACCACATGTCACAGGCCGTTTGCCTACCAAATTAGATGCAAAATTTTTGTTTTTATTGTTTTTTAACTGTCTTTGTGACAAAGAAAATTCGCCTGGAGGCAGCTTTGCGGCGCGAAAGTATGTAAATTAAATGTTCATGTTGTGCACAATTTAAGATACTTGCAATTAATGCCAGGCAACTAGGTGCTCAAATGGCGCATATTACTCATACGTACCGTGGCACATAAATTTTATATATGGTTGGGAACAGCTTAAGACCAAAAGCACTCACCTGCAAAGAGTAAAAGAAAAATAAATATATTTATATATAAATATGTATATATGTATATTAATAGAAATTCGAGTCTTGCACGGAATTGTGTAAAAAGGAATTCAGTTGACCAAAGGCAAACACCTAGAGAGGGGCGTGGCTAAACGGTAGGGCCAAGGAGCTTAACTGAAGCACGCTGTTAATGTTTTCCAATAGCACTTGATATATGAGCCTCAAGTGAGTGTGTGTTTATTCCCCTCCAGCGATTTGTGTGTGTGTGTGTGTGTGTGTGGGTGTGAGCATAAGTGTTGTGTGTTGTGTGTTCTTAAAGGATTTTATGTCGCTGTTGTGTGCAAGGATTGTCTTGTTAAGCAATGCCATGAAGAAAGCAAATACATGTATTGGCCAAGTTTATAGCAGAAAATTGATGGGATATTTCTTAGCAAATATGCTGCTTGAAATATGTGCAACTTTCTTGAAAGCTTAACTCGTTTCTTTTAGTAAGATTTAGAAGTTTTCATTAATCATTTAAACTATACTATAAAGTTTATTTTATAGCTCATAATACCTATAGAAAATATCAAAGAAATTCGAAATGACACAAGATGATTTAAATAATATTAAGAAATGTATTAAAATTATAAGAGAGAAAAAATTTGGAAGTATATTTAAAAAAATAATTTTACATTTATTAAAAATAAAAGCAAAAAATACTCGACTTTCCAATGTGCCAACGCAACAAGAAAAGTCTTTTTTCCTTGCGAAAATATATGTTGTATACGCACATAACAAACGAGAGTATAATAAATGTTTATAACTGCAATCAATGTCTGACAGTGATGACCACACAGATGGTGATACATTGTGATACAGGCACAGATGCCGTAAGCTGCAGCCTGACAAGCCAATTAGCTGGCGGCGCACATAATCACCAATCAAAAGGTGTCGATGCAGCACCGACAGGAGCAGCAGCACTGGGCGGGAGTCTCACAAAAAGCGAGCATAATTGAGTTATTTACGCTAATTGACACACACACACACACACACACACAGACACACACACACATAATCAGGGGCAGAGACGTTTGTGTAAGCCTCTGACATAAATTGCCAGCGTAAAGCGGTGGACCGCAAAGTTTGCACAGCGCACGTGACTGACAAATAAACTGACTGACTGACTGACAGACTCGAGACTCAACACGTCTGGCGCAACGTTGTTGTTGCCACGTGTCGTTGTGCCTCGAATTTCATATTTCATACCAAACATGGGGAGGGGTGGGCGGTTTGGCAAGTTGAAACGTTGCCTGTTTCCTGTTGCTGTACGTTGCACACATCCGCTACCTGCCAATTGCACACGAAATTATAATGCACGTGGGCGTGGCACTGACTGAATGCAACAAGGCTTTCAGCCGGGCCCAGACACTGGCACATCCACACGGCCAGAACTAGGCGCCAGCCACATTGCCAAATGCAATTACAACTATTCAATTTGCCGCGTTCCCCCACAAAATTGAAGCATTTCATTTGTGCAACCAATTTACGCGGCAAACAGAAAGTGAATATTGCGACCAACTAGCTGCCAAATTAAGCCAAAGCCTTAGGGCCCTGTCGAGAATATGTAAGCGAAAAGTTGCAGGCATACAGTGAATGGAAAATGGCACAGACAGAAATGAAAAGCAACATTTCCTATTATAAAAGACGCTTGACTGGTAAATTAATATTTTAAGATTTATTTTATTAGATTTCCCTACATGATTTTCTACATGAAATTTAATTAGAACATAATATATACAAATTACAAAAAGCAAGAAAATTTGTTAAAATATTTTATATATTAAAAAAAAAATTAATTAAAAATTTAAATATAAATTACAATTAAATATAAATTATAAGCAAAATGTTGAAGGTTTCCGTAACAAAACTATATTTTTCAAGTAACTAAATAATTAAAATTCTAGCTCGAATAGAAAAATGATATAATTTATTTTATATATTATCTTTAATAATAGTTTTAAATAATAATAATTGCTCAAATGCATCTATAGGCACGAATGCCTATCTAATCTTCACGTATAACAAAAATGATTCAACCTGCTTGCTGATATAAACAAGCTCAGATTTTACAAGATGATCTAATATATACAAGTAAAATTTGTCTTGCCAAAGAAACTCCGCATTTCGCCTTTTTGTGGAACGCAACTTGCCACAACTTTGGTCATGATAATAATGGAAAATGCTTTTCGTTAACACACTTTCGAGTGCATTTGCGGAAGTGAAAGCTCATAAGCTGAAGCGACTACAAAAAGGTCATTAAATTTGCTTAATGCCTCTTAAGAGCCGCCAAGTCCTTAACTTCAAATGTATACAGACGTCGCTTATATCCGTTTTCAATACTTAAAAAGCACGTGCTAAACGACCTCATTATTGCAGCCATCGACTAGTCAGCATTATAAAAAAAAAGGCAAGCGTAATCTTAATCTGATTCCCCATAACGTGGTCACACAAAGCGCTACTTGAGCTTTTAATGAGCCAATAACGAGGTTCCTTAAAGAACTTCAATGATTTTTCGCCTGAAATACGATTTGTTATTTTTGCAAAAAATAATTGATCATCAAAGCACATTTTAAAGATTTTTATTTCCTTACTCAGCTTTCTTGTCTCAGCTCTTGTATATATATATATATATTTGTGCAATATTTAAGATATGACACACATGAGTGCACATTTCTCAACCGGCTTTGATTGATGATGATTTTAATTTAAGGTATGCTCATATTTTTGGAAAATTATTGACAAGAATTTAATTGCATTAAAATGCTTAAAGAGCCTAATAAATATAACCAAAATGATGTTGATATTTATTTATTGAAATTTGCGTTTCTCAAAGCCAAAATTTCCATTTAAATTAACTCCCAAGCTATTTTGAGACCATCTCAGTTTCTGTTCACACTTTATCTGTTTTGCCGCAGGGAGACATATTTCTTAGTTGGCTGTCATCCTGGCAAAGCCGCATTAACGTCAACACACGCACACCCACACTCACACTCACACACACTCACCCAAACTAACCGACTGACATTTAATTCGATGAAAATAAGTAAGCAAAAAAAATGCTTCAGAGTTCGCACAGCTTTGCGTCGAGTGATATTAAAGTAATAAACGCCAAAAAGATTGAGCTACAATCAGAGACAACGGAATAACAGGATAATAAACTTCAAGTGCCTTAACTAAATTAAAGTGACCGACGGCCTGTGACGTCCACGAAATTTCATTTCAGACGTTATAAAAGCGCCGCTTGACATCCGCTCAACATGGCGTATGCGTAATTTTGTGTTATTTTTGGCCCCAAGGCGAAACATTTGCCATCGCGCTCAAATTTAATTTGTAAGCTTTTATGCAAAGCAATTAACGATTAAATGCGGCAAACACAATTTTGGATCAGACAAGTTATGACAAAATAGCAGAAAGCATAATAATAAAAGAAAAATATTCAACAAAAACCTAAACAAAACACAAAGAAATGTGCCGTAGGGTTTATTCCATCATTTTATGTAAATAATATAAAAGGATTTAATACAAATACAATATACAGATATAAAATAAAAATTAATAAAAATACAACATAAGGATTTGACACATATATAAATAATTAATTAATTCGAGCCCAGCTGCGTTTTAAGTCATAAATTATTTAAAGTGCGAGCATATGTTATAATCTAAAATGTTGCCAAATAAAATCATATTAAATGTTTTGATTGAAAATTAAAATTACGGACGAATAACTGCAACAGACTTCAGTCAGACTTTCCGAACTTAATTTGTAAACACATTTTAAGTTATGTCTCAAGAGGTTTTAATTAAATTGAAAACTTTTAAATATACTCCAAGCAAATGAATAAATTTAATCCTAAATTTTTGTATACATTTTGAGTAAGGCTTGGCTTAAAAGAATATGTCTTTAAGTTGCCAAGAACCTAACCAGCTAAGCGAAACAATCAAATAAACAAGCCCGTTTATATAAATATATTTATAAATGGCTTTACAAGCTCGCTCCGATAAGCTCTGTATTCGCTCTGATATAGGGATAACAAACACAGGCCTGGGGTCTGGCATTGTAAGCAATGCTGGGCGAAATGAAAGCACATATTTCTGCAACCTTTCTCTTTCTTTTTTTTTTTTTGTTCTTCATTTATTATTGCTGTAGCCCAAACACGCACGCAATCAGCCGCAGAAACTGTGCCCTCGAGGGCAAGCAGATCCCCTATAGACCCCCTCACCTTAGCTGTCAGATAAATGCCTTGAATAAGGTGCAGCTGACGCCGAAGTTGGAGCTGTGGCTACCCATGGACTTACCTTTCATCCAAACGCATGCTGCTGCGACTTATGTCACTCCAGACGGACATGGAACGGGGTCGCTGGAAAAATGATTTTGAAAAGCGTCGCACGGTTGGCAATTGCTGCGGCGGATAACCCGCCAGATCGTTGAGCTCCTCATTGAAGTTGACATTGCGCGTGTTGATGCCGCCGCCGCCGCCGCCGTTGCCGTTGCCGTTGCCGCCGCCGGCGCTGCGTGTGGGCGATGCTATCGATGGCATCGAATAGCTGTTCGTATTCGTTTGATTATCGTCCGACATGCCCAATGCTGTATAGCTAACTTGTAGATTGTGTGTCATCTCTTGGATATGTATTTCCAGATACTCTTCATGGACTTTTCACCAACACTCAGCGTATTTTTCACTGCACCTTTTCACATTGTTTTGCATTTCTTTTCGACATTTTCACTAGACATGAGAAATAAATTTAAGAATTTCCGCTGCGTTCGTTGCCTTGGCATGGTTCGTTAAATACTAAATAACCGACTTTTCCATTCAGCTGCCATTATAATTGATTTTAATACAAAATGCGCGCTGGGCAGTTCATTAAACACAATCAACTGGCAGCTGGGCTAATAAAAAACAACAATTGAGTTGGCAGACATTCGCACTGTGTGCCCAAGTGACAATGATGAATCGTTGCAACCTCTGACCTCCAGTGCATCTTCCTGTTATTGTTGTTGCTGTTGCTGTTGTTGTTGTCGTTGGCTAATTGAGTGCAGCATTCAAGAGTGCAGCAAGTCAAATGGCTGCAAATCCATCAAATGCATAGAAAACAAATCCTGAGAACTTTGCTAAACAATCCTTAAAGAAACTTTAGCGAAGATTGTTTCGAATGCGCCTCTTTAATTTGTCACGTCTTTGCAATATATTCTGCTTATGCTGCTTTTTTTTTTTTTAAAGGCCATAAACACGTCGCCGAGCGAAAATTGTATGCCGGCAAAATTTGAAATGAAAAGCATTTTAAATGCTCATGAATTCTTAATGAGTGCGCGTTCGTTCTGACTGTCTCAGGTATTCGAGGGTGTGCCTATCTACGCGTACTAGGTATATTTCACATGTCACACATTTCATATGCATAATGAAACATAATGCTAAAAGTACACACACACTCGCGCACTCACAAATCGTCACACAAACACACTCACACACACACCCGGACACTTCCTCGAGTGCAGTTTGGCCAGATGAAGCTGGAGGAAAGCCCCTAATTAAAGTGTTACCCACTTTTCAGTTTCTGTTGCTTTAGTGCTGCCACAATTTCAGTTGCTGATGATGATGACGCTGTGGTTTTATACCCTGTATACAATGGCATCACAGAGTATACAAGCCGAAGAAATCTTTAATAATATAGCCATTTTCAAGCCTAAGTTAGATTCGTGAAAATCGAATAGAAGGGTAGTGTAATTTACAAAGTAAATTGAAAAATATGTAAGTATTTCTTTGGACAAAGTACGATACTCCTTCACATACAGTGTGTTCAGGGTATATACATATATATATATATATACACAGGGTATCTATCAGTCGCTTCGCTTAACAAAATAAAAGTCTTTGCTAAGTGTTTTTACTGAAACATTTCGTTTTCGTATTATTTTTTTACATTTTATGCCAAGGCTTCGTAAAAAATGTTATTATACGACCACTTTTTAGCTACTTGGGTTTTATTTCGCTTTTTTCTACAGACAGCGACACAGAGCCGCAGATGAGCCCAAAATATACAAGTTATACAGCATTTACTGCGAATGATCCATGAAGTCTTTAAAAAGTTGCCAACTTTACAGGAAATGGGAAGAAATGGGCGTTCAAATGGACTTGCATACTAAATAGGCTTGAATTAGTAGCTCAATTAAAAGTATAATCAAGAGAAAAAAAATGCGACTAAATGCGGCCACGCCCCTTAAGTACTTTGACTTTGTCGCCGGACCTATATATATTTTTTCTTATATTTTTTGTTGTGTTGGCGACGCCTTAAAATAAACACATACTAAGCACGCGATTCGCTTTCTGCTTTTTGCTCTTCTTCATAACTTCAAATTGCCAGACAAAAGGCAAAAAGCTAAGGGTACTAAATAAATATCTATGTGTATATATAAATATCTAGCTATAGATGCGTGGGCGTATGCGTGTGTGGCTGATAAATGGCAGCTCATTATGTGTAGTTTGTGTACCCTGTACCCAGGAATATGGCTATTAAAGCGAGCTGTGGAAGTGCTTACAACCGAGAGAGGAAGAGTGTGCCAAACCTATAAGGTATATATATTATTTATCAGCAACAATAGCTAAGTTAATTAAAATATTTGGTCTCATGTTGTGTCTGCCTGATATATATTCATATTTTATTTATTACAGATTGTAAACGATTATTTTTTAATTGTTCGACCTGGAAAAGAGCGATAATCCGTTATTATACATCTCAGGTGCTACTAAAGCTCTAAGCAATCAATCGATATCATCCCAAAGATATCGAATGACGGCAGCTTGTTAATAAGAAATCGATGACAGTAGATAAATATATTTTATTATTCATGTTTCATCTGTTGGAAACTCAGAATATTATAAAGTTCTACCTCATTATTTTTTCGATAACAGTCGCTCCACATATCGATATTTATCGACCCACTTTAGACCTTGCTACAGGATATTTCCTAGTCGAACACCCTCAACATTGGCATATTGTTGCTTGTTTTCCTCTTGGGTGCCGGCCAAATGGAAAATGCTCCCCAACTGCAAGCCGCAGCATATCAAACAGTTTAATCATGATGGAAAATATTGTTGCAGGAGGGAAAATAGCGCAATAAGGGGAGCTAAGGCTAGGGTGTTCCCAACATTAATCTCTCAAAATGCAGCGCACTGAGATTCTTGGCATATGTAGCACACGCTGACATCAATGCAAATCGATAGCCTTACTGATAGCTGAATACCCTGTGCCACATGCCTTATCAATTAATGAACTTCTGGCACCTGCTGCAACGCGTCAGTTCCGTTCGACCCAGTGCAAGGGGCTAGGTAGTAGGGAAGGTGGGTGTGAGCTTTTGCTTTAGAAATATGAAACAATTTTTATATTCCGTGACTTCCGTCATTTGTGGGCCGAGTGTAACTGTAGCTGTTACATTACAACGCCGTCATTTTATTGTTTTTGCCATTCACCTTTAAGGCCAACAGAAATGGCAGCTGCCAGCGCGGAAATGCCATTCACATGGTTACTGGGTAAACATTCTGCCTGGGAATTATGCTCGTCAGCCCGGGTCATAAACGGTATAACAATTGTCCGTCTTTGTGGGTAACGCACATAAATAATATGCTTAAAAAGTCTATGAGCGCAGGCCACGAATAATAAATACGCTAGCAAAAGCTAATCTTAGTAAAATTCATACTCTTGCTCGGGCTTTTAACTAGACATAATGTTCCTTTTATTTAAAAAATTAACACTCGTAAAAAGCGTTATTTAATATTCAAAACAATATTAAGCTCACAATAGGTAGGCAAGCTACTCCCTATTATTCCACAAATGAGATTAACATTAAGATAGAACTTTAGAGAAAACTGTTTATGCAATTTATATATAATATTCTTTATAACTGAAAGTTTTGCAGATTTAACTTAATGCTAAAGTGTCACTCGAATCAAATCTATTAACCCCACGCTTATATCTTTTACTAGCTATACAATATATCATTGCAACACATTCAACATTTAATACCTTGGCGTACTTCATTTTGAACAACCTAATCTCTCAAATTCTCAATTATTTATGTTTTATGGCTTGTGCTTTTACAAAGCATCCAGCGAGGCCGCAAAATCGTGACACCTGCAGCAAGGGTACACTGCGTAAAGCCCCGACAGTCTGAGAAGTGTAACACGTTCAGATATTTATGTGCACGTAGCATTATAGCTAAAGCCATATATCAAGGTCGCATACCCCGCTTTAGTATGCATGAACAAACAACAATAACAAACAGAAATAAATAAATAAAACCATATGCGCATAATCCTCAGCTGACGTACTGCCTAAGACCATCAAAAAGTTGTTATTGGGCGGGTAAACTCCGAAAACCTCGCTCGGGTTAACCTTTTGCATGCGGAATTAGGCGCGGTAGCCAAAACGGATGCTGGTCAACAATAAACGCAGTTGTCACTGGTTTATTACCCTCATCAGCTTTCAACTCTATGCTCAGTGAATGACCCCTTTCAGCATTATAAAGTATATGAATGAAGCATAGACAAAAAAAGGCAGCTTGAACACAAGGATTTTCCTCTAGGAGCAGCCCGTTTACAGATGTTTTAGACCAATTTCATTATGATTTCTTTTTTCATTTAAGCGTTATGAACATACCCTGTATCCTTTGATTTCATAGAATGGATACTTTCCGATTACCTTATTCATGTAACTGACTGACATCTTTGACAACATTACTAATCTAATTCATATGCAGTACAATTTTTTTCCCTATCTCGATACGAATCAGTTACTCCTGTTTACTTTTAATATATAAAAGATCTTAAAAACTAGTGACATTAAATTGGTAAATAGTTGCTTGGCTCAACAACTCCTATAATCGATCAAAAACGATTGGACAATTTGGCTCTTGATATATCGGAGATCGTAAAATCTGGTGATATTCACTTGGCAAGTCTGTATGCCCTTTTGAATCTGCTCCGAATTGTCTTAAAGTCGATTAAAATTCATTAGGCATGTTCACTTTTGATGTATCGGAGATCGCAAAAGCAAGTGATATTGAATTAATCAAATGGATGCTCTTTTATCCTCTTACAATAGCTCTCCCGAGAAACCCGATAAAAATCGTATATGCAAGCCTGCATTTTTGTAGAATACTTAGCATGGCAAATTAGCAAGTAGGTGCTAAACCTTTGCGATAACTATTCCAGCTGTCCCAAAATCGATAAGAAGTTGGTAAGAACTGTTTACCTTTAATATATCTCAAGACTGTCGCAAATCGATTTATAGACCCCATTTCTTGTGGCATACATCAAAAATTACAATTACAACCCGAGGGTGCTTGTTTATCCCAAACGATAACTCGCCCAATAGTCGGAAGCCGAGAAAAATCTATCTTTTGCCTGATAAGAAGTACACAACTAAGATTGTCATTTGGATTTGGGTACATGGTATCTGCCAGTCGTGCGTTATCGGTAAGAGAGCTCTTAATTCTAATTTAAACATTCTTCGTTTTGCTTTGTAGTCGTTGCCAAGTGCCAAATTGATTTGTGGCCCAGAGAACTTTTTGAGGTTGGCGAAAATTGAATTTTTATTTCGACTTAACTTCTTTGGCAGCTAA